GATTAAAATTCAACTGAATTTCAAACAATCTAAATCGAGTCATATTTTCGAAATTACTTTAAAAAAATCGACCAAATATGTAGATATCTAAATTGACAATCGGAAACTTTACTTTCGTTCAGGTGAGACTATTAGAGAAAGGGTTTCCAAATTGTCAATGTTAAGAGAATATTTGCTGTTATAATTAATTCAGAAATTAATGTGATGCATGTTTTAATTCAAATCCTACATTGGAGTACAAATAAAAAAGAAGATGTGGTATGATTGCCAATGAGACAACTCTCCACAAGAGACCAAATGACACAGAAATTAACAACAATAGGTCACCGTACGGCCTTCAACAATGAGCAAAGCCCATACTGCACAGTCAGCTATAAAAGGCCCAGAAATGACAATGTAAAAACAATTCAAACATGAATACTAAGTATACTTTCTTATTAAAATATATTTCATTAGAGTATAAATTTGAAAAAGAAATTTTGGACTAATTTGTAATAAATTTTCAAGCTGTTTCTCCAGGGAAAACTGATTTTATTACCTTACAACTATTAACAGTCTAAGTACAATTGTAATGACAAAATACCTACATCATCATCTGGGCATCTACAACTAAATCATCGCCATGTCTAGGACTGTAATTTCTTCTTCTTCTCTCGGGGCTCCCGTCTATCTGTAATACATATTCAAATTATTTTAATATCTATCAGACAACTATTAATAAATAAAAAAAAAATATACTTACTTTCCGATGCATATGTTACCTGTCCTGACGTAAATATCCTGGGGCTGGTATCTGAAACAAAAACAAAATAAGTTCCAAAATATTGAACCAAATATAAAACTTAAAAAATTTACTACTTTAATTTTTTTTTCATTCAAAATATCTATAAAGAAAAACTGGCATTAATGGCAGCCATCATCATTGCTCAATTGCTCTTTTTGACTATATATCATTAACTTATTTTCATTTTAAATCTATATTTCAATCAGTAATGAAGACGGTTTAATGATATAATCATTATTTCCGAAATTAATGTGCGTGTCAAATTATCAGAAGTTGGTGGCTAACCAAAACAATCTGATGTATACATTTTGAACAGAAATGATTAAAATTCAACTGAATTTCAAACAATCTAAATCAAGTCATATTTTCCAAATTACTTTTAAAAAATCGACTTAATATGTAGATATCTAAATTGACAATCGGATACTTTACTTTCGTTCAGGTGAGACTATTAGAGAAAGGGTTTCCAAATTGTCAATATTAAGAGAATATTTGCTGTTATAATTAATTCAGAAATTAATGTGATGCATGTTTTAATTCAAATCCTACATTGGAGTACAAATAAAAAAGAAGATGTGGTATGATTGCCAATGAGACAACTCTCCACAAGAGACCAAATGACACAGAAATTAACAACAATAGGTCACCGTACGGCCTTCAACAATGAGCAAAGCCCATACTGCACAGTCAGCTATAAAAGGCCCAGAAATGACAATGTAAAAACAATTCAAACATGAATACTAAGTATACTTTCTTATTAAAACATATTTCATTAGAGTATAAATTTGAAAAAGAAATTTTGGACTAATTTGTAATAAATTTTCAAGCTGTTTCTCCAGGGAAAACTGATTTTACCTTACAACTATTAACAGTTTAAGTACAATTGTAATGACAAAATACCTACATCATCATCTGGGCATCTACAACTAAATCATCGCCATGTCTAGGACTGTAATTTCGTCTTCTTCTCTCAGGGCTCCCGTCTATCTGTAATACATATTCAAATTATTTTAATATCTATCAGACAACTATTAATAAATAAAAAAAAAATATACTTACTTTCCGATGCATATGTTACCTGTCCTGACGTAAATATCCTGGGGCTGGTATCTGAAACAAAAACAAAATAAGTTCAAAAATATTGAACCAAATATAAAACTTAAAAAATTTGCTACTTTAATTTTTTTTTCATTCAAAATATCTATAAAGAAAAACTGGCATTAATGGCAGCCATCATCATTGCTCAATTGCTCTTTTTGACTATATATCATTAACTTATTTTCATTTTAAATCTATATTTCAATCAGTAATGAATACGGTTTAATGATATAATCGTTATTTCCGAAATTAATGTGCGTGTCAAATTATCAGAAGTTGGTGGCTAACCAAAACAATCTGATGTATACATTTTGAACAGAAATGATTAAAATTCAACTGAATTTCAAACAATCTAAATCGAGTCATATTTTCCAAATTACTTTAAAAAAATCGACCAAATATGTAGATATCTAAATTGACAATCTGAAACTTTACTTTCGTTCAGGTGAGACTATTAGAGAAAGGGTTTCCAAATTGTCAATGTTAAGAGAATATTTGCTGTTATAATTAATTCAGAAATTAATGTGATGCATGTTTTAATTCAAATCCTACATTGGAGTACAAATAAAAAAGAAGATGTGGTATGATTGCCAATGAGACAACTCTCCACAAGAGACCAAATGACACAGAAATTAACAACAATAGGTCACCGTACGGCCTTCAACAATGAGCAAAGCCCATACTGCACAGTCAGCTATAAAAGGCCCAGAAATGACAATGTAAAAACAATTCAAACATGAATACTAAGTATACTTTCTTATTAAAATATATTTCATTAGAGTATAAATTTGAAAAAGAAATTTTGGACTAATTTGTAATAAATTTTCAAGCTGTTTCTCCAGGGAAAACTGATTTTATTACCTTACAACTATTAACAGTCTAAGTACAATTGTAATGACAAAATACCTACATCATCATCATCTGGGCATCTACAACTAAATCATCGCCATGTCTAGGACTGTAATTTCGTCTTCTTCTCTCGGGGCTCCCGTCTATCTGTAATACACATTCAAATTATTTTAATATCTATCAGACAACTATTAATAAATAAAAAAAAAATATACTTACTTTCCGATGCATATGTTACCTGTCCTGACGTAAATATCCTGGGGCTGATATCTGAAACAAAAACAAAATAAGTTCAAAAATATTGAACCAAATATAAAACTTAAAAAATTTGCTACTTTAATTTTTTTTTCATTCAAAATATCTATAAAGAAAAACTGGCATTAATGGCAGCCATCATCATTGCTCAATTGCTCTTTTTGACTATATATCATTAACTTATTTTCATTTTAAATCTATATTTCAATCAGTAATGAAGACGGTTTAATGATATAATCATTATTTCCGAAATTAATGTGCGTGTCAAATTATCAGAAAGTTGGTGGCTAACCAAAACAATTTGATGTATACATTTTGAACAGAAATGATTAAAATTCAACTGAATTTCAAACAATCTAAATCAAGTCATATTTTCCAAATTACTTTTAAAAAATCGACTTAATATGTAGATATCTAAATTGACAATCGGATACTTTACTTTCGTTCAGGTGAGACTATTAGAGAAAGGGTTTCCAAATTGTCAATATTAAGAGAATATTTGCTGTTATAATTAATTCAGAAATTAATGTGATGCATGTTTTAATTCAAATCCTACATTGGAGTACAAATAAAAAAGAAGATGTGGTATGATTGCCAATGAGACAACTCTCCACAAGAGACCAAATGACACAGAAATTAACAACAATAGGTCACCGTACGGCCTTCAACAATGAGCAAAGCCCATACTGCACAGTCAGCTATAAAAGGCCCAGAAATGACAATGTAAAAACAATTCAAACATGAATACTAAGTATACTTTCTTATTAAAATATATTTCATTAGAGTATAAATTTGAAAAAGAAATTTTGGACTAATTTGTAATAAATTTTCAAGCTGTTTCTCCAGGGAAAACTGATTTTACCTTACAACTATTAACAGTTTAAGTACAATTGTAATGACAAAATACCTACATCATCATCTGGGCATCTACAACTAAATCATCGCCATGTCTAGGACTGTAATTTCGTCTTCTTCTCTCAGGGCTCCCGTCTATCTGTAATACATATTCAAATTATTTTAATATCTATCAGACAACTATTAATAAATAAAAAAAAAATATACTTACTTTCCGATGCATATGTTACCTGTCCTGACGTAAATATCCTGGGGCTGGTATCTGAAACAAAAACAAAATAAGTTCAAAAATATTGAACCAAATATAAAACTTAAAAAATTTACTACTTTAATTTTTTTTTCATTCAAAATATCTATAAAGAAAAACTGGCATTAATGGCAGCCATCATCATTGCTCAATTGCTCTTTTTGACTATATATCATTAACTTATTTTCATTTTAAATCTATATTTCAATCAGTAATGAAGACGGTTTAATGATATAATCGTTATTTCCGAAATTAATGTGCGTGTCAAATTATCAGAAGTTGGTGGCTAACCAAAACAATCTGATGTATACATTTTGAACAGAAATGATTAAAATTCAACTGAATTTCAAACAATCTAAATCAAGTCATATTTTCCAAATTACTTTAAAAAATCGACCAAATATGTAGATATCTAAATTGACAATCGGAAACTTTACTTTCGTTCAGGTGAGACTATTAGAGAAAGGGTTTCCAAATTGTCAATGTTAAGAGAATATTTGCTGTTATAATTAATTCAGAAATTAATGTGATGCATGTTTTAATTCAAATCCTACATTGGAGTACAAATAAAAAAGAAAATGTGGTATGATTGCCAATGAGACAACTCTCCACAAGAGACCAAATGACACAGAAATTAACAACAATAGGTCACCGTACGGCCTTCAACAATGAGCAAAGCCCATACTGCACAGTCAGCTATAAAAGGCCCAGAAATGACAATGTAAAAACAATTCAAACATGAATACTAAGTATACTTTCTTATTAAAATATATTTCATTAGAGTATAAATTTGAAAAAGAAATTTTGGACTAATTTGTAATAAATTTTCAAGCTGTTTCTCCAGGGAAAACTGATTTTATTACCTTACAACTATTAACAGTCTAAGTACAATTGTAATGACAAAATACCTACATCATCATCTGGGCATCTACAACTAAATCATCGCCATGTCTAGGACTGTAATTTCGTCTTCTTCTCTCGGGGCTCCCGTCTATCTGTAATACATATTCAAATTATTTTAATATCTATCAGACAACTATTAATAAATAAAAAAAAAATATACTTACTTTCCGATGCATATGTTACCTGTCCTGACGTAAATATCCTGGGGCTGGTATCTGAAACAAAAACAAAATAAGTTCAAAAATATTGAACCAAATATAAAACTTAAAAAATTTGCTACTTTAATTTTTTTTTCATTCAAAATATCTATAAAGAAAAACTGGCATTAATGGCAGCCATCATCATTGCTCAATTGCTCTTTTTGACTATATATCATTAACTTATTTTCATTTTAAATCTATATTTCAATCAGTAATGAAGACGGTTTAATGATATAATCATTATTTCCGAAATTAATGTGCGTGTCAAATTATCAGAAGTTGGTGGCTAACCAAAACAATTTGATGTATACATTTTGAACAGAAATGATTAAAATTCAACTGAATTTCAAACAATCTAAATCAAGTCATATTTTCCAAATTACTTTTAAAAAATCGACTTAATATGTAGATATCTAAATTGACAATCGGATACTTTACTTTCGTTCAGGTGAGACTATTAAAGAAAGGGTTTCCAAATTGTCAATATTAAGAGAATATTTGCTGTTATAATTAATTCAGAAATTAATGTGATGCATGTTTTAATTCAAATCCTACATTGGAGTACAAATAAAAAAGAAGATGTGGTATGATTGCCAATGAGACAACTCTCCACAAGAGACCAAATGACACAGAAATTAACAACAATAGGTCACCGTACGGCCTTCAACAATGAGCAAAGCCCATACTGCACAGTCAGCTATAAAAGGCCCAGAAATGACAATGTAAAAACAATTCAAACATGAATACTAAGTATACTTTCTTATTAAAATATATTTCATTAGAGTATAAATTTGAAAAAGAAATTTTGGACTAATTTGTAATAAATTTTCAAGCTGTTTCTCCAGGGAAAACTGATTTTACCTTACAACTATTAACAGTTTAAGTACAATTGTAATGACAAAATACCTACATCATCATCTGGGCATCTACAACTAAATCATCGCCATGTCTAGGACTGTAATTTCGTCTTCTTCTCTCAGGGCTCCCGTCTATCTGTAATACATATTCAAATTATTTTAATATCTATCAGACAACTATTAATAAATAAAAAAAAAATATACTTACTTTCCGATGCATATGTTACCTGTCCTGACGTAAATATCCTGGGGCTGGTATCTGAAACAAAAACAAAATAAGTTCAAAAATATTGAACCAAATATAAAACTTAAAAAATTTGCTACTTTAATTTTTTTTTCATTCAAAATATCTATAAAGAAAAACTGGCATTAATGGCAGCCATCATCATTGCTCAATTGCTCTTTTTGACTATATATCATTAACTTATTTTCATTTTAAATCTATATTTCAATCAGTAATGAATACGGTTTAATGATATAATCGTTATTTCCGAAATTAATGTGCGTGTCAAATTATCAGAAGTTGGTGGCTAACCAAAACAATCTGATGTATACATTTTGAACAGAAATGATTAAAATTCAACTGAATTTCAAACAATCTAAATCGAGTCATATTTTCCAAATTACTTTAAAAAAATCGACCAAATATGTAGATATCTAAATTGACAATCTGAAACTTTACTTTCGTTCAGGTGAGACTATTAGAGAAAGGGTTTCCAAATTGTCAATGTTAAGAGAATATTTGCTGTTATAATTAATTCAGAAATTAATGTGATGCATGTTTTAATTCAAATCCTACATTGGAGTACAAATAAAAAAGAAGATGTGGTATTATTGCCAATGAGACAACTCTCCACAAGAGACCAAATGACACAGAAATTAACAACAATAGGTCACCGTACGGCCTTCAACAATGAGCAAAGCCCATACTGCACAGTCAGCTATAAAAGGCCCAGAAATGACAATGTAAAAACAATTCAAACATGAATACTAAGTATACTTTCTTATTAAAATATATTTCATTAGAGTATAAATTTGAAAAAGAAATTTTGGACTAATTTGTAATAAATTTTCAAGCTGTTTCTCCAGGGAAAACTGATTTTATTACCTTACAACTATTAACAGTCTAAGTACAATTGTAATGACAAAATACCTACATCATCATCTGGGCATCTACAACTAAATCATCGCCATGTCTAGGACTGTAATTTCGTCTTCTTCTCTCGGGGCTCCCGTCTATCTGTAATACACATTCAAATTATTTTAATATCTATCAGACAACTATTAATAAATAAAAAAAAAATATACTTACTTTCCGATGCATATGTTACCTGTCCTGACGTAAATATCCTGGGGCTGGTATCTGAAACAAAAACAAAATAAGTTCAAAAATATTGAACCAAATATAAAACTTAAAAAATTTGCTACTTTAATTTTTTTTTCATTCAAAATATCTATAAAGAAAAACTGGCATTAATGGCAGCCATCATCATTGCTCAATTGCTCTTTTTGACTATATATCATCAACTTATTTTCATTTTAAATCTATATTTCAATCAGTAATGAAGACGGTTTAATGATATAATCATTATTTCCGAAATTAATGAGCGTGTCAAATTATCAGAAAGTTGGTGGCTAACCAAAACAATTTGATGTATACATTTTGAACAGAAATGATTAAAATTCAACTGAATTTCAAACAATCTAAATCAAGTCATATTTTCCAAATTACTTTTAAAAAATCGACTTAATATGTAGATATCTAAATTGACAATCGGATACTTTACTTTCGTTCAGGTGAGACTATTAGAGAAAGGGTTTCCAAATTGTCAATATTAAGAGAATATTTGCTGTTTATAATTAATTCAGAAATTAATGTGATGCATGTTTTAATTCAAATCCTACATTGGAGTACAAATAAAAAAGAAGATGTGGTATGATTGCCAATGAGACAACTCTCCACAAGAGACCAAATGACACAGAAATTAACAACAATAGGTCACCGTACGGCCTTCAACAATGAGCAAAGCCCATACTGCACAGTCAGCTATAAAAGGCCCAGAAATGACAATGTAAAAACAATTCAAACATGAATACTAAGTATACTTTCTTATTAAAATATATTTCATTAGAGTATAAATTTGAAAAAGAAATTTTGGACTAATTTGTAATAAATTTTCAAGCTGTTTCTCCAGGGAAAACTGATTTTACCTTACAACTATTAACAGTTTAAGTACAATTGTAATGACAAAATACCTACATCATCATCTGGGCATCTACAACTAAATCATCGCCATGTCTAGGACTGTAATTTCGTCTTCTTCTCTCAGGGCTCCCGTCTATCTGTAATACATATTCAAATTATTTTAATATCTATCAGACAACTATTAATAAATAAAAAAAAAATATACTTACTTTCCGATGCATATGTTACCTGTCCTGACGTAAATATCCTGGGGCTGGTATCTGAAACAAAAACAAAATAAGTTCAAAAATATTGAACCAAATATAAAACTTAAAAAATTTGCTACTTTAATTTTTTTTTCATTCAAAATATCTATAAAGAAAAACTGGCATTAATGGCAGCCATCATCATTGCTCAATTGCTCTTTTTGACTATATATCATTAACTTATTTTCATTTTAAATCTATATTTCAATCAGTAATGAATACGGTTTAATGATATAATCGTTATTTCCGAAATTAATGTGCGTGTCAAATTATCAGAAGTTGGTGGCTAACAAAAACAATCTGATGTATACATTTTGAACAGAAATGATTAAAATTCAACTGAATTTCAAACAATCTAAATCGAGTCATATTTTCCAAATTACTTTAAAAAAATCGACCAAATATGTAGATATCTAAATTGACAATTGGAAACTTTACTTTCGTTCAGGTGAGACTATTAGAGAAAGGGTTTCCAAATTGTCAATGTTAAGAGAATATTTGCTGTTATAATTAATTCTGAAATTAATGTGATGCATGTTTTAATTCAAATCCTACATTGGAGTACAAATAAAAAAGAAGATGTGGTATGATTGCCAATGAGACAACTCTCCACAAGAGACCAAATGACACAGAAATTAACAACAATAGGTCACCGTACGGCCTTCAACAATGAGCAAAGCCCATACTGCACAGTCAGCTATAAAAGGCCCAGAAATGACAATGTAAAAACAATTCAAACATGAATACTAAGTACACTTTCTTATTAAAATATATTTCATTAGAGTATAAATTTGAAAAAGAAATTTTGGACTAATTTGTAATAAATTTTCAAGCTGTTTCTCCAGGGAAAACTGATTTTATTACCTTACAACTATTAACAGTCTAAGTACAATTGTAATGACAAAATACCTACATCATCATCTGGGCATCTACAACTAAATCATCGCCATGTCTAGGACTGTAATTTCGTCTTCTTCTCTCGGGGCTCCCGTCTATCTGTAATACACATTCAAATTATTTTAATATCTATCAGACAACTATTAATAAATTAAAAAAAAATATACTTACTTTCCGATGCATATGTTACCTGTCCTGACGTAAATATCCTGGGGCTGGTATCTGAAACAAAAACAAAATAAGTTCAAAAATATTGAACCAAATATAAAACTTAAAAAATTTGCTACTTTAATTTTTTTTTCATTCAAAATATCTATAAAGAAAAACTGGCATTAATGGCAGCCATCATCATTGCTCAATTGCTCTTTTTGACTATATATCATTAACTTATTTTCATTTTAAATCTATATTTCAATCAGTAATGAAGACGGTTTAATGATATAATCATTATTTCCGAAATTAATGTGCGTGTCAAATTATCAGAAGTTGGTGGCTAACCAAAACAATTTGATGTATACATTTTGAACAGAAATGATTAAAATTCAACTGAATTTCAAACAATCTAAATCAAGTCATATTTTCCAAATTACTTTTAAAAAAGTGACTTAATATGTAGATATCTAAATTGACAATCGGATACTTTACTTTCGTTCAGGTGAGACTATTAGAGAAAGGGTTTCCAAATTGTCAATATTAAGAGAATATTTGCTGTTATAATTAATTCAGAAATTAATGTGATGCATGTTTTAATTCAAATCCTACATTGGAGTACAAATAAAAAAGAAGATGTGGTATGATTGCCAATGAGAC